TGAAAACCAAAATCAACATATTTATATGTTTCTACACCGTATTGTAATATCCCTTACTATAAGTGTGAATATAATGTTCCATAAGTCTGGTTGGTGCCTTCTTTCGCTGTAATTTAACAGATTATAAATAGAAGCCAAAATCAGTATCATTTTAGGTTTCTACACCGTATTGTAATGTTTCTTACTGTAGATATGAATATATTGTTCCATAAGGTGGTTTTAAAAGCTTGTTTATACTTTGAACAAAAAATTGCATAAATRCATGCATTGGTGATGCCATTCGAGATCATTAGCATTTGGTATCCCAGTGCTKCCAYCARTTCACCTTTATATCCATTATACATATCTGGAAATACATATCCCAGAAATACWGGTCCCCATGAMAACTCAAATGCAACCACAATGCAGATGATCATGATGATAACCTTCCTGGCCACTTGCTGGGCAACTGCCTGGCCATGACAGTTTTGTGAATGCTCACCAGGCACTCGCCTTATGCAAAGTTTGTAAGCAATCGNATCGTCAAGTACAAAATTACTATGACAACATGAGGGAAAATATACCCAAAAGAAAAAATGAAAATTGCATCAAATCGAGAGTGGCTATGAATACAGTATACATCGCTATCTTTTGTGCATAGCGATCCTTTCGTAAGTGCATAATGTGCTGGTATCGCTACAGAGCCTGTCCAGATAACAAACATTATGTGTTTTGTCCAGGAAGAATGGTCCTTGGTCTTGAGCGGGCGCATAACGGCCAGGAATCGATCAAATGTAATTCCAACAAGACTAAATACGGAGGAAATCATAAAGGAAATGAACAGGCCTCCCTGGGTCTTACAGATAATCGTGCCAAGAATTCCATGACCTTGCATTGTCCATTTCATACCATTTTCCAGGTAATACCCCGTTCTTACAGTGCTTAAAATACTTGCAAGGATGTCTGCAACTGCCATGTTGACAATGAGATAGTTGGTCGTTGTGCACATATTTGGGTTGACTCTGACAACGTGGATGATAAGGGTATTGGCGACAAAGGAAAACATGGAAACAGAAATCCAAATGGCAATGGCGATGTACTTGTTGAAAGGAAATTTGGGAACTTCAAATTTTTCTACAAATGTCAAAAAGAAAAGAAAAGAAGTCATTCTCTCCAAGCGAAGAAGTCAAAAGGCAGGTGTTTAGCCCTCTCGATTTCTGTAGCAAAGGAGATTGTTTACACCAAGGGGATTTGCAATGTGAAGAAGTAAGAAAGAAGTGTACTTTGATTTTTTTATGCCAGGCAATAGAAGGATGTTATTTTGAAAAAAGGCTGTCGAAAGGAATGGTAATTGAAAACATTTCAAGGTGATTACACGACCGAAATCACTGAGCTCTTGTAAGTGACAGTTGTAATCAAGCACATAGCTACCGATATGACTGCCTTCAAAATTATATTCATATTTAGACACTTCCAAATCGCGCTTCGCACTGTTACAACTGTATATAATCTTATAAAACTTATTAATAATGCATAAGCTATTGCTCCAATAAGGGCTGACCATTTAATCAGGTGATTGACCTTGTAAATCTGATACAACCACTAGTGTTGTATCAGATTTACAACACGGTCGTCACCATTGAGACAACCCAACACTAGCAAAGGTCTCAGTTTTAGTGTCGCATCATAGACCTTCACTAGCTTTTGAAGCAATCAAAGACGGATAACAGAACTCCCTTATGCAACAGATGGCTTGCTTTCCATGTGGGATGGATAATTATTCAAAATGTTCTCTGTTGCAGTAAATTGCGCATGCTTAATAGGGACTAAACTCAGCAGTTACCTTATTTGTCATTTTTCGTCATTTATCTCACTGTAATTCATGTTAATTTGTGTTGGAGTTTTATAAGTCGTTTACAACATTCGCGTCCGTGTTGTATGGGAATTACAATCTCTCGCCTGCGGCTCGAGATTGTAATTCCCATACAACACGGCCGCTCATGTTGTAAACTATACAAACAGTGTTCATTTAGATATACAACAAAATCACTAGGATGAAACTGTTTTTGAATGATTCTCCAGGAAGGATCGAGGAAGGACTTTCAGTTCAAAATATAAATCCAGGTATTAATGGCAAAAGAAAAAGATATTTTAATTGTAATGACATCTTGCAACTTTATATTAATTAAAAGAAGTAAGAAAGAAGTGAACTTTGATTTTTTTATGCCGGGCAATAGGAGGATGTTATTTTGAAAAAAGGCTGTCGAAAGGAATGGTAATTGAAAACATTTCAAGATTACACGACCGAAATCACTTAGCTCTTGTAAGTGACAGTTGTAATCAAGCACATAGCTACCGATATGACTGCCTTCGAAATTCTATAAATATTCAAAATTCAAACAATGTTCAGTTAGAGATACAATCACTACCATAAAACTGTTTTTGAATGATTCCCAGGAAGGACTTTCAGTTCAAAATATAAATCCAGGTATTAATGGCAAAAGAAAAAGATATTTCCATTGTAATGACATTTTGTAACTTTATATTAATGATTAAAACCCTTATTTTGCAAATGAAGTTTCTGTTGYATTTAAGACTACAGAATGTTAATGAGATTGACTGTGTTTGATAGCTTCTTCTGATTTGTTAATTTTTTTCAAAACAGGATAAAAACAAAAGAAGATTCCGAATGCAACTCAGACTAGTGATATTGTACTTTACAGCGTTTTTAAGAATTATACGTTTTGGATCATTGATAATTCTATGCACATTTGCCAGCTGAAAAATTTCATACGGATCTGTTTTCACTATAAATCTACAAAGTATATTATTATTTTTTTGTGAAATCTTGTTTGCACTTCTTGATTTATAGAAAAAGTGCATTGAATTTATCATTAATCGATGTCATGAAATTTAGAAGAGATAAATTACCATCTCCATCTGATCTTTTTTTTAGGATTYGTCAATTAATTTTTAAGAGCCTTACCATTGTCAATTTCACATGAGATCGTGGTTGAATTCGTCCAAGTATCATTTCTTGAGCCTTYASATGTTAGTTGTAAAGAAAGAAGAGCGATAAAAAACAGGAAAGTTTKCTTCATCCTTTTTTCGCTGTAGATTGTTCKAGTGTTTACAAATTGATAARACTGAAAGGTCCAATCATCGTGTCATTYTTAAWGATTKCGTTTACATTAAYTGCTTGCATTGCTCTAARGCTGTGTCAATATTACTATTAATTTAAAACGAAATTTGTGTATTTGAGGATATCGAAATAAAGGAAAGGAATAGTGCTTAATTAGAAGGAGATTATTCCGGGAGAAAGACCTCCTTCTAATTAAGCACTATATTCCTTTCCTTCATTTSTATATCATGTTTATCATAGTGCCATGCGGTCCTCATATTCATATATTTAAGGATATTGAACGGCAAGGGTTGTTTATGCCCTTATTACGAATATCAAGTGTTTGTCAAAACTTCAAAACTCATTAAAACAGATACACCTACTTGCGAAAACGTTKTCATAGAAAATAGGACATTTGTATTTAGTAAAAAGGAATAAAGTAAAAAAGACAAAAGAAGATCACTGAGATTGAACGCTCTCTTTTGTCTTGTTTTAATTTATTCCTKTTTTACTACATTCAAATGTTTTATTTTCTATGACAACGTTTCTGCAAGTACGYGTAGATCCCAATTTTAGGGGTGCATTTGCAACCGGCATTCAATGCGGTCGTGTTTTGGATTTTTAATTTCAAAGAAATGAGGTAGCCTCAAATAACCATCCGTATAATCCGASTCAGCCAMGAGATATTCGATTATTGTCAGTAAAAACTAGCCCACAGACTTCAATGCAGTGTCAGTACGTAGAATGGAATTCTTACTGGGTAACAACGAAAAACTTGCCGAGTTACTAACTCGATTGATACTCCATAGCTCATGAACAGCAACCCTGAAATCATTACAATGAAGAGTATCATCCTGATTCTCTGTCAGCTCTTTTCAAGTTCCGTATTAAAGATATGATACAATTGTTAAAAAGAACATCTTTGAAAGCGTTTCTAAAGTTTTCACTAAATATTGTATAAATTGTGGCATTGAATAACCCATTGCAAAGCATGAGAGCTGTGTACGCTACTAAGATTTTGGTTGGTATGATCTGGTATCCATAGGACAAAAACTGAAAGACAAAGCCAAGAAATATCGGAGCCCACGATACGTCGAAAGCCACAATAGTACAAACTATCATGTATGTAACTTTTCTGGCAACTCTCTGGGCAGCGGTCTGACATTTGCCTTCTTGAGAATTTTCGCCTGGGACTTTCCTTGTGCAGAGCTTGTAGGCCATTATCRTGTACAAAATGACTATTAGGGCGTGGGGAAGAATATACCCAATGGACAGGATGAAAATTCCATCGAAAGMAGATTCAATTGGAGTGCATATGACCTTGTTTTGTATTGAGCAAAGTTYTAGATTGTTGACCACATAGTTGGCTGGAACGGCAATGGATGCTGCCCAAATGCCTAGAATGRTGTATTTGGTCCTGGAAGAATGGTTCCTGAACTTGAGTGGTCGAGCGACAGCCATGAATCGATCAAAGGTGATGGCAACGAGACTGAAAATGGAGCAGAGCATRAAAATAAAAAACGAAGCTCCTTGAACGTAGCACATGATGCTTGCAATGGTATCTATTTCATTTGTCTGATAGCTATTATAATACAGCGTTGTTGATGTGATATGTATTGTTGACAGTAAATCCCCGACTGCCATGTTCACTATGAGGTAGTTAGTAGTAGTGTGCATGTGCGGATTAACTCTGACAGCGTAAATGATGAGAACGTTGGGTATAAACGACATCGTTGAGGCTATCCACCAAACGACATTGTGAATCTTGTGAAACCCCTCCTGTAGTAAGGTATCTAAGCCTGTGTTCTTTTCTATTCAGAAAAGGAATACAATGAATTATATCTGCAAAAGTTATTTTCCGTTGTACATGTACAGAAACAACAACAACAACAACAACAACAACAACAAAACAAATAACCTACATTTTTGAACATAGTAGCACAGACAGGTTCTCAAATAGGTTCTTAATTATGGAGAAAAACAAATAAAACTCAGCTGCAAAACAAGATGGCTGCTGGACTCTCTATTGATTCCCGCTCCCACCCCTCCCTCCAAAGCACACATTAATCTTCAAGAATATCATCAACACATCCAATCCAATCAAGGTTAACAGGTTCTTAATTTCCAGTTCTTAGTTGGGTTTTYTTCTTTTTTATATTCGCGAGWAAATAAAAGCCATTATTCAACTCTTACCGCTTTCGATTYTACAAAAATCAGTTGTATTGTTACTGCTGCTGATGTTTGAAGGATGCGATMTTGACTGTACGCAAAATAGCAGAGAAATCAAAAGTCCYAACACAGAAACCATCCTCACTGTCCTWTCCTTACAGTTGGGACAACAGATCTTCCCCTAGTTACAGCTGGATTTTAAATATGGATCGCCGGATCCTTTTAAAGATAACATCAGGGGTTTCTCGACTTAGGAACCGCATCGATTTCTCGAGTGACTTCCGGCTACAGTTGACAGCAACGTGCTGAGCAGCTGCTGGAGCGATGTTGATTATATTTAGATTAATTCCCAGCGCAATCAAGWACAGTTGTTGATTGCTTTTTTAATCAATGTTTCTGTAATAAAAAAGTTATCTAGACATGTACACTTAGTTAGACAGCWGTTCATACTCTAATATATAGTCTTTTTGTTGGCTTATTTTGCTCTTGACATGATAGACAGAAAGCAAAGTACTTTATTAAAACCTTTGAAAAAAATTAATTTCGCAGTTCCTTTAATCTTTCTGGTTACAATCAACTTGCCTTTCATAATATTGTATTATCCTGTTTGTTTTTGTCTGAGGTCAATCAGTCTAATCTTCACTGCCAATAACATCCAGCTTTTTTTACCGACGAGACATGAATAAGGCTTCGGTTTTGTGGTTCTTGATCTACCTTTCTCTTTTCTTTCATTCAAGTTATGAAAGMAACAACACAGGAACGAATTCTACTKATCCAAATCCAAAAAACGATGGTAAGAATTACTTTAAATGACATGAAGTGAGGATACCCTCTCCTGGCAAATGTCTTTCCTGAAAAACGAGAGAGGCATTTTAGCTACCTTTTGCAAAGGCATGACAATTCACCTGTTTATTTTGCCATGATTTATTGGGCCTGGTTGTACAAGGGATGAATACGGTCAATTCTTATCCAGTGGACAATATCTATACAGAATATACAAGCGGATAATTCTTGCCGATAGCTTTGTCAATCAKTGTAGTTGGGCCCAGAAGTTAATGATCTGGCTCAAACAGAAAAAAAAACTACGGGCTGTTGATGACATAAATTCATCAAATCAGCGAAGCTCTAAAGCGACTTTTTGCCTACCAACTTGCTTGCAATTTTACCCTGAATTAATGATGGAAGTTTSTTTAATACTATATTAAAATATAATTGTCTCTTTTTTYCTAGCCGCGTCCCGAGTTASCAASGAAATTAGCTTAGCATTCTGGGTAATTGTTGGCACAGTAGCTGCACTTTGTAACATTCTCATCATCCATGTCATCAGAGTCAACTCGCACATGCACACGAACACCAACTACCTCATTCTCAATATGGCGGTTGGTGACATACTCGTAACAATTTCCAGCGCCTCGGGCTCATTGTATTCACTGTTTAAGGGATCTGAATGGGAGCCTGACCAGTATTTGATTGGATATACCTTTTGCAAAGCAGTTTATTCTGTGTATCATATCTCGATGCTCTGCTCCATATTCAGTCTTGTTGTGATCACCATTGATCGATTCCTGGCTGTCACACGTCCTCTTAAGTACAAGTGCTACTCTTCCTGGACAAAGTACGGTATAATTGCAATTTGGTTGGCATCCCTGACAATACCAATCAACTACACAGTGAAACGAATCAAGTTTGAAAAGGAAACGGGAAAGTTTCATTGCAAAGCACAGCCATCTCATTTCGATGCAATGATGATTTTTAGCCTCGGATTTGTTATTCCACACATTGTCATTGTCATTCTTTACATGGTTGTCGCATACAAGCTCTGTAGAAGAAAAGTTCCTGGTGAGCATGCTCGAGAAGTGAATTCCCAGACCGCTTCCCACGAAGTCGCCAAGAAAGTCACTTATATGATCATTTGCATAATAGCTGCTTTTGAGGTGTCATGGTGCCCAATTTTCCTCGGTTACATTTTCCCGTTTTTGGCCCAGGATGAAGCCTTTTCATCTCAAGAATCAATAGATGCCAAACAGTATGACATTGTTGTCTTGTATAAAATTCTAATGATTTTCAATGGCATTTTCAATGCGTTGATCTTTGCGATTTTTAACGAAAGATTTCGGCAAGCATTCAAGGCGACCTTGTCTTGCACATCTTGTTTTWCGGCCCTGCGAAACATTAGGCAAGATAGAGTAGTCAGTGATAATAYCGCCCCATAAAATCGTGTTTTTGGCAGTGCTCTAAAGTAGCAGTAATCCCCTCATACGGTGTTTGTAAATATCTTATTAGCATGGACACCTGGGGCAGTTTGTACAAAGGGCGAATAGCGTCATCAAGCGGATAAAACATTCTCCAGCGGATAAAATCCATACAAAATCTATGGATTCTTGTCCATAGCTTAATCCACCCTTCATTTATTCGCCCCCTTGTAGAAAAGAACACAATGGAAATAATTAAAAAACCTTCATGTTGTGTTCATTTTTTCTTGTTTTCTCGTGTTAATTCTAATCAATTGCATTTTACTTTTTTTTATTAAACAATTGTATGAATGATCAATATCAATGATTGATGTCTGTAGATGAACTAACGAAATGAAAAACTCTTTAAACTCTAATTAAGTAAGATAACAATAACATCATATGAATTTGCAATGAAATTAAGACCCCGTTTGTGACATCAACAGTTTATACATTTATTAATTAAATTAAATTTAGTTATTTTTTCCCCAACCAAAATCTATTATGAACCTTAATGTGTGTATATCTGCATTTTATTTACTTGAGGAAATGTTGATTATATTCCCAAGATTTTATATTCCTATAGAGTTTTCTGCTACTAAGACAAATATAATATTTTACCTATAGTTTTTAATTATTGACATTTCATATTAGAAAAGTAATTGAAGTTTCGAATCAATATCAGTTATATCAACGCTGGTTACGCAGTTCGTTTAGAACACTCGCAGGACAACGAACATGATGACTAAGGCTTCCATTTTGGTGCTGTTCATTGCTCTTCTTTTCTGTCTGCAGTCCCGATGTGAGGATTCATCGCTAAGAAGCAATGGAACTAATCTCTCATCGACTTCTTGTGACCTGAGTCGTAAGAATACATTTAATCATTTCAGCCTATGTTGAGGACAGTTCATACTGGCGATTTTTGCGGCGTTTTTGCGATCATTTTGATCTATATCTCTCGAGAATATTGCCAAAGAACTTGTAAACTTAAATTGAGTACACTGAGATGAGCTAACTAAATATCTCTTCACAAGGATAAGACAGAATCTAATATATTTTTTGAAAATCGCCCGAAAAGTCGCATCAAAAATCGCATCAAGAATTGGATAAATTCGAGAATCTTAAAAAAAGCCCACCTAATGCGAATTTATCCTAGATTTTTGCTGCGCATTTCGCAACTGCTTCTGTTCATCAGCATTGYTATTGGTGAAGTTCTTCTTATCTGTCTCTGATTCTCATTTTTAGAGCCGAAGCAAACAATGATGATAAGCAAGGGTTTCACCTGGGCCTTTTGGGTAATACTTGKCGCTGTTGGATTTTTTTGCAGTGGTCTTGTCATTCACGCTGTCGTAGCCAACCCACACATGCACACAACGACAAACTACCTCATTGTCAACATGGCAGTCGGTGATACGCTTGCGACTTTGATGACAGCCATTACAGCGTTGTTTATCCTTGTGAACTCATGGAATGGAGGTGATAATATATGGTCTTCAATATTCTGTAAGACCAGTTATTGTTCGCTTTATACTTTTATGCTTTGTTCAGTATTAAGCTTAGTTGGTATCACCTTCGATCGATTCCTGGCTGTTATACGACCTCTTAAACACAATAACCATTCTTCCTGGATAAAATGTGCTATACCAATCATTTGGCTGGCATCCATAGCCATACCAAGCAACTACGTTATAAATAAAGTTAAATTGTGTCCATTGGGTGCCAACAAGGTTTACTGCCTGGCACACTCGTCGGAATTCGACGGCATTCTGATCTTTTCGATTGGTTTTGCTCTTCCGCATGTTGTCATGGTAATTCTATATATGGTAATTGCCTACAAGCTCTGCACAAGAAGAGTTCCTGGGGAGCATGCTCATGATGCAAGAGCCAATACAGCTGCAAGGAAAGTCGCCAAAAAAGTCACTTNNNNTATGATAATCTGCATTCTTGTAGCGTTTGAAGTATCATGGTGTCCATTCTTTTTTGGTTATATCCTTCCTTATCTTCTTTTCGAAGAAGATGTCACAACCTACGCACAGCTCTTTGGATACAAGGCGTTAATGTCCTCTAATGGAATTTCCAATTTCATGATCTATGCTTTCTTCAATCAAAACTTTCGCCGCGCATTCAAAGAAACTTTGCGGTCTGGCTCCAAAAAGAAGTGCCCAGGAAAAGTACAAGTGAATGACATGAGCACCAAGATGAGTGATGACCACATTTTATCTCAGCGAGACAAGACCTCGACGACTACAATTCCAACATGCACAGACAAGACGGCTTAAGAATGGATGCTTGCCTATCGTCATTATAACGTTCAATGATACACCTAGTAACATTATGGATACTACCAGATGTGGTTCCCTTGTCAGTTTAGACAGGACATATGGATAACTTTTGATATACATATAGAGTTTAGTGTAAAAATATCCCAAAATCTTATAATATAGTCTATTACCTACATGTATATTAATTATGAACGCTTTATCATCCTTCAAGAGTCAAGCACCTTGCACAAGTAATATTCAATATGTTGTATACATATGTCAAATTCACATAATTATGATGCACCTCAAGCTTAAGTAGAACTAGACGCTTTGTAAAGCGTGATGCGGGCTAGCTTAGCAAAAGATTGACAATACAAGATAAAAATTGTATCTCCAATGAATATTGTGACTATGACRTAACTATATAWGAAAGTAAAATATGCCGATGAATACCTTAGTTTTCTTTGCAGTTCAATTCTTATCGTTAACCTTCACTGTCTGCTATAATCTTATCATAAGCTATATCAACTATCAACCATAATCTTTGTGCTATAGTGATTGTCCTACATTTGCAATGTATTTTGTAAAAATATTTATGGAAGCTCTTTACTTCTTGGTTAGCGATATCACATCTATTATTATTTACATAACAATGCATTTTAGATGGCATGAGTGCATTCTTTAAATTTTGTTTTTATTAGCCTTTCTTTCGTACAAAAGAAATCTAAAAATTGAAGCAAAACAAAGCTCAATTTCAAAACTTGTACTTTGTCATTTTTAACTAATAAAAAAACCCGATGATATTAAAGCAATTTCTTTGAATTTAAACAATAAAAACATTGTCAATTAAACAGAAGAATACCTTTTGCTGTCTATAAATGTGGTAAAAAAGCCAGTATTTGAGCTGATTTCATGTTGAAGCTGTACTGAATAATCATCGAGCTGGACTGGTGAGGAAGGCGAGACTATTTTCGATGCAAAATCGTCTTAAAATGATAACTAGCAAGCTTGAAACTTCACAAATGCAAAATCCTAGTTCAATTCTTCAATGAGAAAGCTTTTGGTATTTCTTGTTGATAGTTTTTGAGTACTTTTTTCTCTGTTATCGGCGAAGTACCCGCCATTTTGGATTCTTGAGAAAATTTTCAGTTCGAGAGAGACTGCAAACTAATAGATATAGCCCGCTAATAAGTTCTTGGAAACGGATAAAAAGTATCGAACAAGTTTCAAAAGATTACTGTTAAAGCACTATATATATGGAACTAGCTTCATTGTTTCAAAGACAGAAAGGAAATTAATAGAAAATGTAAAATGAATTTTAAGCAATAAATAATTAAATGGTTAGCAATAATTAAAAGCAGAAGATCAGAGAAGATTGATGTGAAAATTGTTGTCTTACATAGTTTCTGCAATGACAATCACGATCTTGATCTGTTGATGGCTGTTCAGCTATGAATAACCCAGGTATTTTCAATAGATGAGGTGACGGTTTCGGCGGTCATATTGGACAAGGATAGACAGGGAAATCGATATCAAAGGATAATTCTCGCTGAATTCAAATTCGGAAAGAATTATAAATTGCAAACGTTAGATACCAAATTGGCCAAATTTTTAAGGATGTAATTCATCTAAGGAGCGAGTAACTTTTTATAGTTCTTGATACATTTCTTTGTATTTTTCACGCGCGTCACACGCTGATGACCCCGGAAATTACAAAGGTGCTTACTTAACGATGATTGCATTGGCCTGGTTGGACAAAGGAATAATACATTTGATTATTATCTAGCGGATAATATGTATACAAAATGGATGAAGCAGATAATTCTTGYCGATAGCTTTTTCAATCCTTGTAGTTGGGCCCAGAAAATAGGTAACTTTGCTCAAACATATAAAAAAAACTTCGGTCAATTATAATAACATTAATACATCAATTAGCGAAGCTCTAAAGCGACTTTCGGCCCATCCAACGCAAACGTGTTTGCAATTTATACCTGAATTCGTAGCCAGATTTATTGATAAATCACACACATTGTCATTGTCATTCTTTACATGGTTGTCGCATATACAAGCTCTGCAGAAGAAAAGTTCCTGGTGAGCATGCTCAAGAAGTGAATGCTCAGAATGTTCTTTTTTCCTCAATTTCTCGCTGGCAACCAGTTGTGACCTACAGCTGGCTGGGAAATAAGAACAGATATATTTCTCCCAGGATCCTGTTTGCTCCTCCTAAAGATAAAGTAGTCAGTGATAATATCGCACCATACGTCATCAAGCAGACTTCGAAGTGACAGAGAAAATCGTGTTGTTAGCAGTGCTGTTAATTRGTAGTAATCTCCTCATACGGTGTTTGTAAATATCTTACTAGCATGGACACCTAAGGCAGTTTGYACAAAGGGCGAATAGCGAATAAATCATTCTTCAGCAGACAAAAGCCGTATAAAATCTATGGATTGGATATTTTTATCAACCCTTCGTTCATCCGGGCCCTGTTTGTAGAACAGAAMTATAATTTGCTAGCTAAATCATCATGCACAAACCAATAGAAATAATTAAAAAAAACTTCATGTGGAATTTTTAATTATAATTATTGTATTTTTCTTTTTTTTATTAATCAATTGTATGAGCTTTAATGATAATATCAGTGATTGATGTCTATAGATGAAACGAAATGAAAAATCTCTTTTTAACTTTTTCCATGTAAGATAACAGTAACATCATACGAATTTGCAATTAAATGAGGGCACTGCTTGTGACATCCAGAGATTTTAGATTTATTAAATTAAATTTAATTACTTTTTCGTCGGCCAAAATCCAATAAACACTATTAAAAAATTAATATGTGCAATTCTGCAATTCTTTCACTGGAGGTAATATTGATTATATGCATAAGATGGTATATATTCCTAGAGTTTTCTGCAGCTAAGTTACTGAACCACTTCGCCCCTATAAGTGGTGCATAAGACCTCCGTCCAGCTTCTCCACCTCTCTCGGGTCAACTAAGACAAAGATATAATTTTACCTAGTATGTTATATTGACATATACTATTAGAAACGTCATTTAAAATTCTATAGGTAAATTCATTGGGTGACGAGTGAATTCCGCGTTCGCGATTCGTGCGATATCGGCTTTAATCGTGAATTCAACGCGGATTTCACGAATCATCCAATGAATTTACCTTGAATCGCATGTCTCAATTTTAAAGGAGAAAAAAATTATAAAAACAAAAACAAAAAAAGGTTAGAAATGAGCGTGCGTTTGCAAAATTGAAGCGATCGCTCGTGAGTTCAGTGCGAGAATTTCATTTTCAGTTGTTTTTTTTTTTTTTTTTGCCATTTTAGCCAAAGAAATATTACTTTTTAATAACTAAAAAAAAATTTGTAGCACTCGATGAGCTTTTCAGTATTTTTACTGACAAGCTCAAACCGGTTTTTCAGAGCGAGTTTGCAACGATCATCGGCGGACGGCAAACTTGCAGACAGACCAGGGTCACAAATCCTAAGATTCACTAGTTTTCACAACTATTATCTCGATTAGAAATATCTATGAAGAAAAGACTTCGAAAGGTTGTTACTGAAAAATTGAAAACAAGTTTAAAATCAAATTTTGAGTCTTATTTGGACGAACGAAACTCGTTGAAGTTAGTAGCCCTGACTTGCCAAGCAGACTTCAAAACCTACTTCATGTTTACTTGTGAAAGAAAGCGTACTAGTAGACATTCTCAATCAAAAAGTAGCTGAAAAACTCAAACACAGAAACATTTCATAAATTCATCCCATAACTGAAAAGCGAAACAGCTTTAGTTTTCTGCAAGAAACGGGGAAGGCCGCTCAACTCCCCGCTATCTTCATTTTTGTTTACGTAGATAAACTGAACTTGACAAACTTTAAAATGTATTACACTACCATGCAGGTATTTAATAAACAGTATTTTAATAATTGTGACTTTTTGGGGTATTTTTTCGTTTGAAAACGGTGCTTTTATCGAGTTAAACTTAAATGTGTTTTTGTTTTTGCTACTGAATTTGCAAAAAATGAAAATATTTTGCTTCCTGAAATCTAGAGAAAGTGAATAGACAAATTGTTGGGAACTAAAACAATTAGATAATAACTTTTGCCAGGGTTTTACACGGATTTTGTGAGTAAATTGTTGAAATAACGCAAGTGTTTTAAGGTAGCTTATATCGGGGCGTCGAATTCAGGTTTCTCAGCGTTGAATTCAGGTTTCTCACCGTTGAATTCCACTTGAAATACCCTCTCATCCGGTTGACGTGTTGACCAATCAACGCACGACTTTAAAATTGAGGTATGAGATTCTAGTCAATATCAATTATAACAWCACTGGATACGCAGTTCGTTTAGAACACCCGCAAGATAACGAACATGATGACTAAGGCTTCCATTTTGGTGCTGTTCATCGCCCTCCTTCTCTGCCTGCACTCCAGATCTGAAGACCCATGGCTAGAAAGCAATGGAACTAATCACTCATCGACTTTTTGTGACCTGATACGTAAGAATACTTTTAGAAATATTAATTCTTGATTCTGCTTATCTTGACTACAGTTCATATACTGGCGATATTTGCGGCGATTTTGCAGGCATTTTAATTCTTATAGACGATATTCGGCTAAAGAACTAACTTGAAAACCTTATTCAGAACACTGACATGAGCGCACTGAATATCTTTTTAAAAGGATAAGACAGAATCTACTATATTAAAAAAAAAAAAAAAAAATTGCATCAAAAGTCGCAAGAATTGGAGAAATTCGAGAATCAGCAGTGTCATTGGCGAAGTTCAATTCTTGTTATCTGTCACTGTTTTTCATTTTTAGAGCCGAAGCAAGCAATGATGATAAGCAAGGGTTTCACCTGGGCCTTTTGGGTAATACTTGGCGCTGTTGGATTTCTTTGCAATGGTCTTGTCATTCACKCTGTCGTGGCCAACCCACACATGCACACAACGACAAACTACCTCATTGTCAACATGGCGGTCGGTGACACGCTTGCGACTTYGATGACAGCCWWTWCAGCRTTGTYTRTCCTTGTCAACAGATACCAATGGAATGGAAGTGTTAATATATGGTCTTCAATACTCTGTAAGATTGGTTATT